AATAAAAAGAAAATGTTAATATAAAAAATGAAGAAATGTATCGGATTTAACCAACTCTACATACGTATTAATCACGATGCCAGAAATACAAATTTTATTACATACGCATACGTACATGATATGTGAATTCATTCGATACATTTATACGTATTCATCTAACTTCAGACTGCTTGTAGCAAGCCTTTAAAAGGAATAGGATCAAATAGGAGTTATTAACTGCAACCCGTCACTGTTGCGGTTTAAATGGACATTGCACAGAAACACACTGAATAGCAAAGAATTTATTTAAGAAATTACAGTGTAAAGCTAATATTGTGACAAAAATGGCAGATCCAGAACTGGAAGCAATAAAACAGCAACGATTAGCTCAATTACAACAACAATATAAGGTATATTATCAGATACTGTCATTTTGTAACCACAAAATTTACCAATTTTATAACTGTCAAATTTGAAAAAAGCAAATTAAAAGATCATTAAAAAGGTATTAAATAACATAATAAATTGCGATAATCATGTATAGATCTACGACAAATTAAAAATGAAAAATGTACAATTAATTTAAGTTTTCTGAATCACAATTTTATCTACCTAGAATATTTTATTGAATCTATACCAGATCTATTTTTAATTGTAACATGAGAAGCGAAACTATAATAGAGCTATTATATTTGATATGTACAGCATGGAAATATTGATAACAAACAAGCAATGGAGGAGAAAATGCAAGAGATGGAAGAAATGAGAAATTCAATTCTTATACAAGTATTAGATCAATCGGCCAGGGCAAGACGTAAGAATACCGTTGTATTTAACCTTTACCGTACATAGTAGGTCAATGCGAATTTTTTAAATTCTACACACACGTATCTGTTACTTTAGTTAATACGTTAAGTATTGGAAAACCGGAGAAGGGAAAAATGGTAGAAGATATGATATTAAGTATGGCGCAACAAGGACGACTGCCTGGTAAACTAGGTGAGAAAGAACTTATTAACTTACTTGAAAGTGTAAATCAACAAACGCAACGAAAAACTGTTGTCAAGGTTAGTAAACGTTATATTCATCCGCATTATCTCTCGGTATGACAGATGTTAATGATATAATTAAATTTCAGTTCGATAGGCGAAGAGCAGCTCTAGACTCTGATGATGATGATTTATAGTACTTTTATATATGTTTTGCTAATCGACATTA